AAATATAAAATTCATTTTGTATCGTACAATCTCTTACATTTAAGTAGTGGAGGAGTATTTTAACTAACATGATCTGACAGAAAATGGCCTCTTATGATGATCATAATAACAATAGTTGTCCCTTTCCCGCCAGTTGCATCCAACTCTCAGCCAAAATTATGCATTCCCCAATCTGACAAATCCAGCTTCCGAGAAAACCTTGCCATTTTCTTCGCCTATTTTGGCAGATTATTACATTTAATTTCAGGTTCAAATATAGAGAAGCTGAAATAGAGGTGCTCGCTGGTACATAACAAAACATGAATTGGTGATTGCGTGGAATTAAATTAAATTAATTTGGAAATTTTGATTCTGCTAAAACAGATATGATGATATATTGCAACCAGCTAGCCTTTCCGTGACGGTCTATTGTCTCAGCGTGTGTTGAATATCATCTAAACACATAAGAAACCTGAAAATTGAAGAATAATTGATTATAAAATTAAGAAAATTAATAGATTAGTTGTTGAATCTAAAACATACCAGTTTTTATAATCGTACGTACGTGTGGACTGTGATATAGGCGAACCCCACGAATGTAACTAATCAATTAAACTTTGAGGTGGCTATATGCTGATCTGGTTTCCTGCACGTGGAAAGATGTGCGAATAGGAGTTATATATCTCAATGTCATTTCTGTAAGCTGTGAATATGCCAACTCCCGGGGCAATCAAGATCGTCAAAAGTATCTCCAAAATCATGAATTCATCAGCAGGTACATTCCATGCATATATAAAACCTTTCTGCAGATATCTGGAGTGAGTAATGGGATGCTTGGCAGCAGAAAATGAGCAATGATTGGGTTGTTACGGCAAATAATGAGGGATGTTAAAAAGCAGAAAGCAAATAATGGAAAAGGGGGGTGAAGCCGACATGGCTCGTCCTCAATGAAAGAAAGCATGGGCCACTGTATTGCATCTCACAACCACTCGTTCAACTTACAAAAGCCTGCTAGTACTAGTACAGCCCTCTTTCACTCTTGTCCACCAGCCTCACTAACAACTCCAGCAATAAATCAGATCATTAATTCCAGATTATAAATGCAGCACTGTCATGTTATGAGATCACCGATCAGATCAGGGTGCGCTCCCATACCACGGCATTGTATGATAAGCTTTTCTTGATCAGCTATATATTTTTTTTTTAACGGATCAGTTCAATATTTATGTCAATAATGGAATTCGAATTCACAATGTTATAAATTATGAACCGACTCCTCACTAATTAGACTAACTTCCTAGCTAGTTGATGTGTTTACACTGGCATTGATCGTGAAATTGGACCCACGTCGGCTAATGAACCAGAGTGGCCCATGAAGTCTTAAAGAAACAGGTCATGTGTTGTCTATCCGTACTCGGCATGCGTCATGGGTGTTTTAAATCTGAACTTGGGCCTCGATCGTGGGCTCTCCTGAAGTCTGTTCTTTTAAGGTTTTAAGTTTCCTTAATAAAACCTTCTCTTCCACAGATAAATATAATTCTCAGCTATGGTTTGAAAAATTAGTGGCACTTTGCATTTAAGCAAGAAAAATTTAAATCATTCCGATAAAATATAAACTATTCAAATTATTGAATTAAACAGTTGAAAGTGTACACGTGGCAGCGTTTAACTTCACGCACTCAATTACAAATAAATATACGTTGTTGCACGCGTAACAACTAAGTAAACAAGCATGATAGGACTTGTACATAGTTATTAAATGAAAAAGTACTGTACATAGTCATTAAACAGATTGACGTAGTCAAGCATACTGATAAAGTCATACTGTTATCACCGGCTTTTGGAACAGTTACACCACGGAGGGTAGGGCAGTTGTTTTTCTGTGGCTTCCCCCCCCCGGTAAAACCCAAAATGTAATTTTATGTCGTTTTCTCTCATTTATTTTGTATTGATTTAATTTATGCCCTTAGTACTCATTTATTAATTCACTTGTATTAAATCTCGCATGCACATATATAACATCATAGCGCCGCAGAAATATTATATTCTAATGGGGACCAGCACCATCTCGTTCCAGTTGCATATATGGACACATTCTGATTCACATATGCGAAAAAAACAGTTCTAGTCTATGCACAACATAAAAATTTTAACAAAACGCCCTGGCATTATCACGTTTATACCGTTTATCATCTTTCTTATAACCAGACTCACAGATATAGTACAATATAAGTCGGTTTCAGAAAATATTTATATTTTATTGACTGAAGAAATATACACTAAACTGATGATAATGTGTGCATGGGATCATAAATAATTTGATTCATTCACTGTCAATTAAACTACTACCCCCGATCCTAATTAAAAGAGCTAGTTGACTAATTTGAGGATATTAAGAAAATAAATTAAGTTAGTTATTTGTAATAAATAGGTATTGTCTTTCTTAAAATATTCTTGCTAATCAAGTGTATTGGTTAGAACTATTACTATTAGAAAGACCACCCTGAAAAAAAATATATAAATATAAAAGACAAAGTAGATTGAGGTCTTATATTTAAGATTAAAATAAAAGTCAAACGAGATTTTATATTAAAAATAAGAAGTAGTACAAAACAAGTCTTGGAAAAAAGTAGACGAAAATTGTGGAATGTGATGGAAACGTATGTCACAGCCGGCAAAAAAAAGGGTTGAATTCCAACAGCGTTATTTACTTCTTAAACAATTTACTCCTCCGGTCCTTATTATAAGACCCAATTTGACTTTTTATTTGGTCTTAATTATAAGACCCAATCCATTTTCTCTCTTATATTTATGCATTTTTTTTCAAGATAATCCTTATAATAATGATAGTTTTAGCCAATATACTTAATTAGCAAGGATATTTTAGGAATAACAACACTTATTTATTATAAATAACCAACTTAACTTACTTCCTTAATCTCCTCAAATAAGTCAATTGGGTCTTATAATTAGGACCGGAGGAGTATCTTTTTATTATAAACCATAATTTTCTGACTTAACATTTCATGATTAAATAAATTAAACCTATATTCATTTGTCCAGGTTTCAGGCCAACCCAAGAAACCCAGAACAGGCGAGAAGTTTTATATCGCACGGTATTTGAGAGACTATTTGTATATCATGATTTAGCCAATACTGAGAATGCCAAAAAAAAAAAAACACACATTTTCTGGATGTATTTTTGGGAAAATGATATATAAAAAGTCTTGAATATATAAAATTTCAATTCATGCACCTAACACTTCAAAATGATAGAGAAGAAAATAAACTTCAAGTAGTATTTTGAAATTCAATGAACAATGACAAAAATACCCCTTGTTTTTTGTTTTTGAAGAGTTCTAGATGTATCAATGCATGCAATGTATATATTTTGAATATATATATTACTCAGTTTCATAAAAAATAAATTATTCTGATATACTTATTATTGATATTTAAATTATTTAGTTATAAATATACTTTGAATATATCCGACCCGTGCTGAAGCCGAAGGGGGAGGACGACATCTGATTGATGCTGAAACTCAAGTTTTGTAACGGTTCATGCCTCTTTGTCCTCAGAATAGGGGAGATCCTGATTAAATCCTGTTAAAATATCAAAACACAAATTAAGACTAATATTTTTAACAAATTTCTAATTAGGTTAATAGGTCTTATTAGGAATTTTTAAATATTATTAAAAGACTAAAATATGCTTTTATGATTTAAAATAATATTATTTTGAAAAAAAATTTAAACCATGAAAACTTGACATTATATAGTATTTATTTATACAAAATGTTTTACATGAAAAAATTTGAAAATACTAAGAGCAAAATATTGACAAAGCATAATATAATATTTTATACTAATTCCAATATATTGATAAGAAATTTATGGAAATGAGGACTTTTCTTTTGGGTAGTGGGAATAGGACCTTTTAATTATTTGATTTCAATGCCATTAAATTAATAATTTTTTAAAGAAATTTTTTTTTCCTTATAGTTGAAAGATTAGAATCTTAATGTATTAGTATAAAAAGTTCCCCCCATTTTTTTTTCATTTATTATAATTATAAATTGAGAAAAAAGTTCTCTCGTCTTTTCTCCTTCCTTTTAAAAGAAAAATGAAGGTCAGTAACCGTTGAAAGTCTAAACCACGGTCTTGAAAAGTTGAAAGACAGAAGGAAAAGCAAAGCAACGTATGATTTCGTGTGCACGTGGCAGCGTTTTGTTGGAGACCACCGATTCAATACTACTCTTTTCTTAAGGACATTCAAAGCAAAATTTCCCGCCTCTTCTTATCTCCAACGCCAATTCAACATCCAAACGTTGAATCCCAGACCACAGGGACAAGGTAAAAGGTTTTCCAGTCTCTGCTTCCATCACAACCTACCGTGCTCGGTTTTAGCGTCTTTCTTGTTTCCTCTCCGCCCCTTAATATTCAAAAAGCTTGTTTTCAAAGCTCGAGGGGATCTCCATATTAGAATACAAATCCACGATTTTATATACCATAGTGCGTGAAACTTGACCAAAAACATACCATAATTTACGACACCAAAGGCTATTAGACAACATATAAAATGGTCCTTCGTATGGTTATAGACAAAACAAAGAACATATAAGCTTGCAGTGATTTTCTACCAAGTGATTCAAGCTATGCTGGTGTAATATACGGACAATTCTCATGCACAGATAGTTAACATTATGCTTCTGTTTTATATAATCAACTCGTCATTTCACCGCTTGTTTTCATGACGTAATTAATTTTTTTTACATTAATTAATAATTTCTTAAACCTTGTAAAAAAAAAAATTGAAACTATACCAAAGTTAAAGCGGAGGAAGTACCATGAACTCTGGTAGCTTTATTAATGACGCCAAACAGAAACTTAGAAAGCATATATAGCCGTTGATTCTTCTTGGCAGCTTCAACGACATCGATTAAAGTACAAATAGATCATGAGCTATAATTAATTCTCATGACTTAAAGTCTTATATATATATATATATATATATATATATTATGCCACATAACACCAAGTGCTAGTATATGCAATTACGAGACAATCAGAATCTTCGTTGTCACTGATGGTTCACCGGAGCTGCAGGTTTTTCAGCCTGCAAATTATAGAAGGGTCAAATGCACAGTTAGATATATATATATATATATATATATAGCAACGTTAGAATCATTAATCTAGAGCAAGTGAGCAGTGACTCTTATTTTTTGGGGAGGCGTTAAGAATATTAGACGAGAGTACGTACCTTTTTTGGTCATCAAAGCCCACACTTTTCTTGTAATTGGGGAAGGGCACTCTCCCAGATTCTATATGCTGAATGTCCCGGACCAGCATCTCATAGTGCCTCTTCACCTCTTCTGGTGATTTTCCACCGACAGCCCTGGCAACATTGTACCAACGATCAGGAGTGTCCTTGTCATAAACTGCAAGAGCCCTTTCGAAGGCTTTGTTCTCCTGGGCACTCCATGAACCAGTGGATGACATTGAGCTCGACGCCATTCTTTAAGGGCGAGTCCTGGCAATAGATATACTGGAGAATGGGAAGAATGTTGGAGAGTGTATAGAGTAAGACCTGATCAGAAAGAGCTGGTATGTGCTGAGACGTGGCAATGGCTTCTCCTTTTATAAGCATAAGTGGGAGGGTGCAAGGTGGGGCAGTGCCAGTTGGCACTTGGCGTTGTAAAATTTCAGTGGAGTAGAATTTGGTGATATGTATCCTTAGGAGCCACTGAATGGAGCAGGACCAAGAAGAAGAGCAGCAATATGGGAGAATCAGTATCTTGAAACCGTAAAACAAATGACTAAAAGTCTAAAACGATAGGATTTACCATGCTTCGTCTATGCACCAGTCCTCTTTCCTTATTCTTGATTCCCTGATATATATCAAATTAAAACTCCTCCCTGGGAAATTTCAACAAGATCGTGGATTAAACCTGTAGTTACTCGTTTACGTGTTGTCAAGCTTCCAGATTTGTGGATTTAAGGGCGCCACTCACTATTAGCTTATACGCGCCTGTATTTAATTCTCTTAGTTGCACCAGTTTTCCAGTGGGTCCAAGCTCAAACCCAGGTGTTTATCAAACATCTGTGTACTCTTATTCTCAAGAGTTTGATCACAAACGAATCTCGTTTGTGGTAATCATTATGGCAGGTGATCTTTGAAGGGTACTTGTCTTGAACAGCCGTCCAACGCTCTAGCTGGCCTCTTGTGTCCGTACAATGATTGTAGTTTGTTCTTAACCCCAGTGAAAGGTCAACATTGTTACCTGCTACTCCTGTAGCTTCAGGGACCCCTTATGCTCAAAATAACGTACGTTACGTTGGTGTTTTTTGTTTAACGCTTAGGGAGACGAATCTTCAATTCCACTCATATCATCAGCTAAAATAAGCGGCTATATAAGAACTATGACTACTCGTACGCTTTTCTTTCTTCTGAACAATAAACGCTCCAGGATCATAGAAATTAATCCGAACCTTGGAGCATTGACCTATCTTAATCAGGCAACTAATGGGAACATCTTGTATGGCGGACAAGAGAACACATGCTTAAATTGATTGGAACATTTATAGGAAGAAGCTGCATTTGGTTGGTAAATAAGCAAATTTCATAAGGATTGGACGAATGATAATTCTTATCATTGTTCGGATGTTACAAACTTTGGAGAATGCACCAGCTGCCAACAAATACAACACTGCTATATATGCATGAGGTAAATATTATTGTCAATGATCCTTTCATTTGGTCAGTAATCTTTGTCTTTTGCTGTTAACTCTGGCCAGTGGCTTGACCTGGAGCACAAAATATAGGCTTTAGGTTTTCCCGCTGATGTTCAAGATATAATTACAGTCTGGAGAATAATATCTTTACCTGAAAAATTTAGCCGCCCCTCATACAAAAATAGTACCTAGTGAAGTTTGCCTTTTTTTGGGTGAACAGGGCATGATTGGGGTCTGGCTGGTCCATCCAATTATTTGGATTTTGTACCTGTGAATATGGAGCTTTCGTAATGACATTATAACTGATATCCGATTCAGCTGTGGCGAAGAAAAGACTAAAAATTTGCCAGAAAAATGGCCTTGTCACCAAAAGTAGTCAGGAGTTTGCATTTTTCGGATATAATTAACTCCACAGTTATGTTCTCTGAAAAAGCTTCGATGTAGCACTGGATTACTTGACCTTTTTCTTAATGAACAAATCATTACTTGACTTCTCTGCCACATTTAGCTTGTTAAAGAAAACAAAGAAGCTTTGTAACATTAGAGATTCAGACGCAGGAATAATAGGACGATGGAATTACCCCCGGAAACTAGAGTTTTTCATATCTTGTAACATCATTTTCTTCCTCAGACCACCCTTGTAAACTTGCCTTTACTTACTCTATGTTGTTGTTATTGCTACTGCTGTTGGTCTTGAGCATTGGTGTTTCTTTTTCCCCTTTTTGAAAAATTCAGAGCTTGAGAAGTATATTCTTCATCCGATTCTTGGGCTAGTTAAACCATAAATAAACTCTAGTGAGTATGAACGGAGACAATGAAGGAATGGGATGGACAATGTAGGTGAGTATCTATGTGTGGAACATGGGATAAGGCTACATTTCCAGAAAAGCATCAGAATAGTCTAATTTAGAGGCCGCTTTAGTGAGATACCGCGGTCAGGCTTTAGCTAGCAACTTGATATAGACTGACCCTGCTCTATATATACCTATATATGCTAATATCTAGCAAGTGGCTAGGCCTCAGACTAATCTTTAGAAAATTGCCAAAAACCAAAACGAAAGCATAGTATTCGGAGGTGCCTGATAGTACAAACACTTCTATTCTGGTTCATTCAATGGTTCATTAGTATGGGAATTCTTAATCTACCATTTGAAGATCTAAATCCAGATTTTTAGTAATCAGCATACATATGTTTGTAATATTTGAGTATTATTGCGACAGTGTTGATAGCTATAAGTTTGTGGGGAGGATGAATCTGGCCTCAGGGTCAAGTTGTATGAATGGTGTCTCTAGAAGCGAACCACGGTGTAGGCGTTGATGATTGGCTGAAAATTACTGGCGTGACTTTTGCAGAATCTTCGGTGAAAAAGTGAGGTCGAAGATTTATTCTCCCACCGATTTATGGAATCCTTATCGCCTAGTTTGCCTCGATTACCCAAAGTAACATATGGAATATGGTCTCTTGGACTCGCATTGGAGGATTTCTTTTCTCTCTCAGTGGTCCTTCATCGCCGAGAGAAGTTGAATCCATGCTTTATTAATTCTCTCTTTCGTACATAAGTTTGTTGACGTGGGTAATTTCATTCTGTCATGATCCAGCCGTCTGATATTATTGCAGAGCAAGGAACCTATGGCTCTGGAGGAGAAGGAAGGAAAAGAGTCAAGCATCCAGTCATTAAAGCGTAAAAGAGAAAGCTTCAGCTTGATGCAGCATTTGGTCAACGGTTGACGACAGGATGAAGTTATGAAGATAGAGAGAGAACAAATATTGTTTCAGCGAGCATGGAAGCCTAGGAAAGTGTGAATTGTGGAGTTGAAGCAGCCAGCACAGCAGGGAGGAAATTGATTAACAGGGAATGATCGAGCCCAATTGGAACGCGTTGGCCCTGAATGCACTTGGGCTCGGCCTATTTGAAGCAACACCCTAATGTTCTTCTTTTAAGTGGGCCTCGTCATCCAAGTGTTTGTTATAATATAACAATAATTTAGCCCCGGATCCAAGTTCAATGCGTTGAATGTATTTAAAAAAGAGAAGGAAAAAAAAGGGTTGTTGCGGTGTCAACAGTAAACGGATGTTTCAATCAGCATCGCTATGAAATTATTGCGTCTCCATTTATTCATATTACAGGATGGTGCCTCGAAGTTGGCCCCACATCTTTCCTTCATGTGTCCTCTCAAACTTTCTATTTCCTGTTTTCTTTATTCAATTCTTCTTTTAAACTATTAATTAATCATTTTTTATAATTTTACCTGATTTTTAATCAGGTATTTATAATTTTTTATTACAAAACTGCAAAAAAAAAATTTCATCAATAATCTGATAATTTTTTTAATAAATTTTTATGCAGATAAAGAACCACAGTAAACAGTGAGTGAGTAGGAGCTACCATGGCTAATAATATGGTGGTGGTCAAGCTCTTGATTAATCTTCGACAGTCGCACGCCGCTCTCAAATCTCAATTGTAGGCATGAGGCAAATGGCTATATTTGAGAAAATTATATTCAGAAGGGCACACTAAAAAATTACTATAAAATCTCAATTAAAAATGAGGCACATCATTGGGACTTGCATAATGAATTGTTTTTCTTTGTTTTATAGAGAAGAGCCAGATTTGAGGATAAGCCAGATTATATTCGCTTGCTGAGTCATCATGCTATTTGGTACAGATAAACGTGGCTTCCTCTTTTTTGACCGGACAAAAAAAACATGGCCTCATCTTTAGTTATGCTTTTTCCCTTTCATGTCCTCTCTAATCATAGCTCGTGGGTTCTCTGAAATTTTGACCATTCATGCATTATTGATCGAGTCCTCAAAATAACAGTACCCCCGAGAAGCAGGTTGAGAATATCGGGGGCGTATTCGCAAACTGGAATGAAGTTGAATTCTTTAACCACTGAAATTTATGAGGCATTTTTTTATTATGAAAATATAAAATAATAAAATAAATACGACCTTAATTTATAATCCTTATCATTTTGAAAACATGAAAACAACTTCATGCGTCAAAAGCCCTCGTATTTAGCATTGCAGAAGTGAACAGGTTGGGTTCTACCAAAGGCGATCCCTTTGGGAACAGTTATGAAGATGACAGTCTTACATGCGGGGTCCCACCATTATCTCAAAGCCATCTAACCAACTATATAATTCCCTCATTCCGTTCCTATAACCATGACCACCCCCACCATCAATTAATGTTGCTCTCTGTCAACTATGTTGTCTCAGACATGGAACTGGTTGGCCATAGTGTGTGCCATTTTTGTGCTCACATACCCCATGGCGGAGTCTTACCCACGAGAGGATGAGATCCAAAGCTTGCCTGGCCAGCCACCCGTAACGTTTCAGCAATTTGCTGGCTACATAACCATCGATGATAGAAAACAGAGATCCATGTTTTATTACTTTGTTGAAGCAGAAACAAACCCTACTTCCAAGCCTCTCGTTCTCTGGCTCAATGGAGGTTGCCTTCCCTTCCCGCTTCAGACTTCTGGATAATCTCGAACAACACTTATTTTTCTGAGAAACTAATATAATTTGTTTCATTTCGTTTTCAGGTCCGGGCTGCTCTTCTCTCATCGGAGCCTTCTTTGAACACGGGCCATTTACAGTTAGTGCAAAGGGTATCGTGAAGAATAAATATAGTTGGAACAAAGGTACGTCTCTCTGGAGCTAAAGTAAGAATAATGAGTGCAAAATAAGTGGCATCCTTAAACAACAATAATTAATACACGATCCAAATCCAAGATTTCACATTGTGTTTACTGCAGTGGCGAACATGTTATACTTGGAATCACCGGCAGGTGTTGGATTCTCTTATTCTGTCAACAAGTCCATCTATGCTTCCTACAACGATGAGATCATAGGTTTATTTTCTGGCCATATCAAGTTTTAAAAGCATCTCTCGCAGAATGATATCATTCATCCTTCTGACTAATCATTTGCATGAAACAATAACTAACATACTCGTATCCATTTTTTCTTTTGTTAGCGCGAGACAACTTGGCATTCCTGCAGTGTTGGTTTGCGAAGTTCCCAAAATACAAGAACAGATACTTGTTCATAACGGGCGAGAGTTACGGAGGTATGTCTATGGAAACGTGGAATCATTCACACATACGTATAGCCTACTATAAATTATAGCCTCTAGAACACTAAAATTTTCTTTGGACCTCAATCTCATAGTGCTGAGTTTGTGTCATTGTCAGGGCACTATGTGCCACAGCTTGCACAGCTTATTATTCAAACCAAGGCCATCCCCAACCTCAAGGGTATAGCGGTAAGAAGCATTACAACAAGTTGACTTTGTTTTTTATTTTCGCGTATGAAAACGGGCGATCATTACATATTTGTTAATACCCATTTTTGTCCCCCAATTTTTTGTCGGGTTGCAGATAGGGAATCCCTTGCTAGAATTTGAGAATGACCTTGATTCGAGGGTTGATCACTATTGGTCCCATGGGTTAATATCGGATTCCACTTACAACGCTATGAACAAAGTATGTAACGGTTCTGAGTTCGCAAAACAATTGATCAAGGGTAAGATGTCTGACACTTGCAAGAAACTCCATGGCATTGTACAAGCCGAGTTCGTGGTTTCAGTAAACCAAGATAACATTCTGGGCCAAACCTGTGATTCCTTAAATTTAACCACGGCAGCCATCCTCGCTCGCCCACCAACCTCAATAATGTCTCAACTTTTGCAGCCATATACAAACAATCGCCAGGTGAAGTCATCAGTCAACATCCGAATGACATAAATATGGGGGTACCTAAGCGTATTGAAAAGCGATCAATTCGATGTCTTTTTTGTAGGGAGATGGTGGCGTTTGCGGACTGACGCTAGTATCCAACTATTTAAATAGGAAGGGTGTACAGACGGCTTTGCATGCGCAGATTGTCGAAGCAAACACATGGATTATTGTAACATGTAAATTGCCGATCATTACTTGAAAATAACAATTGTTATTATTTGTGCATAAATGAGATGACATTATGTTCCGCAGATTCATCTATACAAGATATTCATTCGCAAGCAAGGAAATCCCGACCATTAAGGTGGTAGGCTGGCTCGTGAAGTCGGGCATAAGGGTCGTGGTTTACAGGTACTAATTAGATCTAGCAGGGTGCATATATGAATATCAACATAATAATGAATTAGAATGGCATGTGATGTGACAGTGGAGACCAGGATGCAAACCTTCCATTCATAGGAACTCGACGTTTGGTGAGGAAATTAGCTGAAGAATCGAAACTCAAAGTGACAGTGGACTACACACCCTGGTTTGTGGATGGAAACCTACAGGTGGGCTAAATTTAAATTTTGTTTCTCTTGTAAAATTAATTGAAGTCACCACCTTGACGATGTTTATGTTGACCTGTGAAACGGATTGTAGGTTGGAGGGTGGACAGAAGAGTATGGGAAATGGTTATCTTATGTAGTGATAAGGGGGGCTTCCCATGAAGCCCCGGCCACTCAACCAAAGAGGACATTTATGCTGTTTGATGCCTTCCTTCAAGGAAAACTACTTCCTATCCCCCAACAATGATGTGCTCTGCTGATATGGGAGCACAGTTTATTTACATAGTATTCCACGTATCAATGACCAATCAAATAAAAGCAATAGTTCCTATCACTTCTTAAATAATTTTTTTCAATGGATATCTACCAATTTTAGCGTTTAAGTGCCTGTAAAATATTCGTAGGCATAAACACCTGGCTGGTTTTTGTACGCTCAAAATATAAACTAATAATCATGCTTGCGCACGGATCCTAAAGGAAACCCAATGCATAGGCAAAACGGAAAAACGAATGTTAAAGCTCATTTAGGGCAGAGATGACGCTTGTGCGGGCAGGGAGGATGATGGCTGAGTTGGAGAAGCCTTGTCTCTTCTCAGTTCCCTGACGACAGCAGCAAGTGTCTCCGGATTGACACCCAGGTCACACAGAGCAATTAAAACAGAAAGAGTGTGACGGTCCAGGCCCGTGTCAAGAATGTTTGACATATGGAATGCCAGGTCTAACGATTCCCGAGCAGTTCTTGCTTCTTCTGGGTCCATACTTCTAACCTAGCATTTTTCATTTGGGCACAATCAAATTATTCACCAATTTCATATAATTAAGATTTATAAATCTACAGCTTGGATTTTCTTACTCCTGAAGAGGCCTCTAATCAGATTGATGAATTGTAAACAGAAATCTGCTATTCTCATAAGCATATTCATACGCTGATCTTGTTGGCAAAGAAACCCAGAAAGTTTTTTTTGGGGGGGGGGGTAGGAAGAAAGAAAGAAATGAGAAAATACAAATTTCAGATGCAGTAGTTTAGATGAAAGGCGAGAAATGATAAGCAAGAACCCAGATCATCTCTAAAACGGTCGTGCCAAATCCCTAAATAAAGGTTGGTGAGGAGTGAATATAGATATAGCGAAGAACAAAGATGTGGGGATAACATACCAGTAATGTGTGGATCTGGCGTGGGTATGAAAAGGAATGCCCGGCCAAACACAGGCCTGAGAAGGAAAACAGCCAAGGACGATGATATTGGCGAGCGGAATATTTATAAACTTGGTTGAGGGAGGAGGCTTAAAAAGCTAGAGCAGAACAGATCGCATCAGGCACTGATGTCGCCGACTGATAGTGTTTAGGAAAGGAGTAGAAGATGGACCGTGGGAAGTGGGAATCTGGTGGATGAATTACGAAGATGTTTGAATGACTAGAGACAAAATGTATGAATCGGATAAGTTGAACGAGCCGGAAGGAAATGGAGGAACCGAGTAAGCCCAATCAGTTTTGAGTTTTAACGGATGTTGGTTGGCCCATTCCAAACGGAGCTTCATGTATGTGCTGACTGCTGAGTGGAGTATCAATAATTCAATATTCTGTACCAAAAAAAAAATCAATATTCAATAAGTACGCAAAACAATTAATTAATGAAAAAATCTCAAAAAAAAATAACTGTTAAATTTTAAAATTTTAAATCAGGAATTAATATAAAAATATGTTGTTACTTTCTACAATAAGCACGCAAAACAATTAATTAATGAAAAAATCTCAAAAAAATAACTATTAAATTTTAAAATTTTAAATCAGGAATTAATATAAAAATATGTTGTTACTTTCTTTTTAAGTATAGTTATTTTCCTTAGGAGTGTAGTAATTAATACTGATTTAGAATTTTAAAAGTCAACGGTCATTTTTTTTTGGATTTTTTTCTTGATTAATAGTAACTTTTAAAAGAAATTAAACCTCAAAAACTTTCCTTATATGCCTATTGAGCGTTAACATTGCTCTAGTGAGTTAAAAAAAAAAAAAGACATTGATCTGTGAAGATTGAATAGATGCGGTGGGTACGCTTAATGTTTTGACTTGGGGTTCAGATAATTGCTTTAAGTTAAATTTAATTTGTGAACATGGTATTACATTTACTTGGCTTTGTTTGCATTGAATATTTTAACATGGAAGGTTAAATTATATTGGTGATTCAACAATTATAATCGATTCAACTGCAGTTGGAATAGTTAACTGTGCATGAACCAACCCAATTTTTAATACCTTACAATATTTTCTGAAATTTCAACCTATCCCATATAAGTATACCTTGATATTAAAGATCGCATTGAAATAGTAATATACTACCTCCGAAATCGTGTGAAATCGCAGTACACAGAATGTAATAAATGTATAGTAATGACTGATGAGCGAAGTACATGATATTTGATATAAATGTATATATAATTAAATATCTCTCCGATTTCTTGCAACAAGGACAGAGCATAAATGCATTCTGTTTTAAACCATACAGTTCTTTGCAAAGAAATTATAAAGTGAAACCAGCAATTTCTCACTAATTAATTTTTCCTAGTACGAGGCTAGGCGTTGAGTAAGTGGGCTGGCTTTCAGTCCCCCCAAAAAACAAAGTGGGTTAGTTTGGTATAAGGTATAAATGCATTCTGTTTTAGATCACATAGAGGCTGCAAATGAAATTGTAAAGTGGCCGATCCGCCCTGATTACATAGCGAATGAGTCAATTTTTTATGTTAATTCACATCGACTTATTTTTTGTTTCATTTTCTCAACATTGAAGCATTCTTATAGATTCGATCGCAACATCGAAGTTTCATCTTAATATATATACTTCGCAAATCTCTATCATGCCAATTTAAGAGGTGCAAATTGCAAAAATCACACCTCATAATTTGATCACGCTTTGAATATCAGCACACACGGGCATTTCCAGGTGCATAGATTTTAATATGAGATTGTATTTGACCTGCTCAACGGTATCAATATAATATAATTCATAAAAATTTGATCCTTTCCAAAGAAACATTTTACACGAAAACATTATGAAAATCAAGCTTGTCTTTTATCTGATTATTATCTGATGTTTCCCAAATTCAACAAGTTAAACTTCCATTTATTGTTTTTTAATTAACCTCTAGCTAGTGCCGTGTACGAGGTCAGGCGGGGCATAATTATTGGTTGGTTGAATACAAATATGGTACAAGGCTGCAGGCAGGAAAATCGTTCCAAAACAGCATAAGCAATAATGTCAGCTCCAGACAATCAATCAGCAGAAATCACTCTTGCTGTGAATCAGAATGGAAATCCTGCGTCACCCTCCGACGAGGCAGCCACCGATGATGCGGTCGCCGCTCACCAGCAGGGCCGAACGAAACAAATGGAAACATATTTCAGATACGATAAAGAGAGAGATAAACCCAGCGATGTTCGGACCGCCCTGCTCATTGTGGCGGTTCTAATGGCGACGACCACCTATCTGGCGGGGCTGAGTCCTCCCGGCCGTGTATGGCAGGACAACAATCTGAATGTGAATCCCAGACAGCTCGCTGGGGTTTCAATCACGGGTACCAAAAGTTATTCTGCTTTTGCATGGTTCATGTTTTGGAACGCAGTGGGCTTTTATTCCTCCATGCACATGATCTTATTCCTCACCGCCAGCTTCCCTCTTCGGTTGGAGCTGACCTTTGCTGCCTCCGGAATGCTTTGCACGTACAGTTTATCCGTGGTTGCCGTTGCACCCAACAAATCTCTGCGCTATGCTTTTACTGCCCTCTGCTTTGCTCTTCTCATCTCTCTAGCTTGCATCACATTTTTGAGAGGCTCAAAGTTTGCTCGCAAAATCAGAAAGACCGTGGATAGGTTTCGCGCTACCCCGCAACTACCCCTGTAATTTATATGTATGATTGTCCACATCGAGTAATTTATTTTCCGGATCATGGCCTCATGCTTTGCAAAACCCCTTTTCTTTTCCCTATTTATCTTTTTTCCTCTCTTCTTATTTTACTTCTTTCACCCCATTAACATTCGCATTTTGATGTCCAGGGTATCCGTGGAGCGACCAGCATGCCGTGTGTCTTCTTTTGGATCTGCTAATATGGGATATTTGGATTATTTGGATCTTATCTGCAATAATGCCATCGCCCTCCCTTTTCTTCTGGTTTTTGCATCGTGAAAGTGGAGACAGTAATATTCAGATAATTGGGACGGTGAATGATCATGTTTTTTTTTTTTTGGGTGGGGACCTGCAATGTGGCTGTCCACATCTTCCGAAAATGGCGCAAATTAAGAGAGTGCCCCAAAAACTCATAATCAGAATCTGACGTTTCCGTGACGTAGTCAATGGTTCTGGTTTTATTGGACAAAAATATCTTACAGTATATCGCGAGTTGGAATTCTTAATCAACGGCTACTTAAGGCGAAACATGTACCAGATTTTAAAATCTATTCAGTGAAGACGGATGAGTGTGATTTGAAAGACACAGGGAGGCATTTGAACACGTAAAACCTGAGAGAGCTCCTTTGTGCTGTTTCAGGCATTTCTTGGCGTCAGCCAAACCACTCTCCCCAGTGTAATCAAGCCCGTTAATTATTCTGATTATAATACTGCGCCACCATCGTCCCAATGGATTATCAATTATTTTAAAGGGTTCGCACTTGTAGCTTCACCGGCTTGGCAAGGTCCCATGAGCCTTCACATAGACTTCCTCCATGGACCTTTAATTTGGTCCCTGCGCTGCCACGACAAAAATCAATTTATACAATCTGGCACTTTTCTTCGCCTCTCTGGCCTCTAATTTGATTAACAGGGAATGATTGAGCCCAATTTGAATGGGTTGGCCCTGAAAGTATTTGGGCTCGGCCTTTCTAAATAACGCAGTCTTTATATAGCCTTCGATGATTGCCTCTTTTTTGTTAAGACTACTCAATTTGTAGTATGATATTGTATAAATAAATAAATAACTCACAAGGCTTGTTATAATTGCTGTAGTGGCGCTGTTCTCTCTATTCCTCCATTGCTGTTTCTCAGTCGGTATAAGTGAACGAAGACTAGAAGAGATCTGTGATTTTTTCCCTTGTTTGAGTGAGTGTTCCTTTTTTCCTTTTTTTTAAGATCAGGGCACTGCAAAACGATGTCGCCGGACCAAGTGGAGGGGAATACAAGAAGTTGATTGGGTGGAGAGGTGGGAAATGACATAGTTTTGCGTTAGTGGAGGGAAATGGAGAGAATGCCTAAGAGGAGAGGTTCCGCGCCGTAATAATTTTAAGTTGACCAAGTTCCATGCGTGACTGTTGCATCAGTGTTGCGTCCATCTCAATGGTTGTAGCGATGTACACTATCTATTTTGGGGAAAATGAAAAAAGGTTGTTGCGATGTAAACAGTAAACGGATGTTTAATCAGCATCGCTATGAAATTATTATGTCTCCATTTATTCATTTACAGGATGGTGCCTCGAAGTTGGCCCCTCATCTTTCCTTCGTGTGTCCTCTCAAACTTTCTATTTCCTACTTTCTTTATTCAGTTCTTCTTTTAAATTCTTAATTAATCATTTTTTAATAATTTTACCTAATTTTTAATCAGGTATTTATAACTTTTTATAAAAATAAAAACTGGAAAGGATTTTCATGAATAATCTGATAATTTTTTTTAAAAAAAATTTATGCACATAAAGAACCACACTAAACAATGAGTGAGTAGGATCGGAGCGACCATGGCTAATAATATGGCGGTGGTCGAGCTCTTGGTTAATCTTCGACAGTCTCACGCCGCTCTCAAATCTCAATTATAGGCATGAAGGAAATAACTATAGTTGAGAAAATTATATTTGGAAGAATTTTTTTTTTTTTGTTTTATAGAAAAGAGCCGGATTATATTCTTTTTGAGGAGACTATATTCGCTTGCTGCGTCATCATGCTATTTGGCACATGCTTCAAAAGCCCTCGTATTGCGCATTACAGAAATGAACAGGTTGGGTTCTACCACAGGTGATCCCTTTGGGAACAGTTATGAAGATGATAGTCTTGCATGCGGGGTCCCACCATTATCTCCCGGCCATCTAACCTGCTATATAATTTCCTCATTCCGTTTCCATAACCATGACCACCCCCACCATCAATTATTATTGCTCTCCGTCAACTATGTTGCCTCAGCCATGGAACTGGTTGGCCATAGTGTGTGCCATTTTTGTGTTCACATGCCCCATGGCGGAGTCTTATCCACGAGAGGATAAGATCCAAAGCTTGCCTGGCCAGCCACCCGTAACGTTTCAGCAATTTGCTGGCTACATAACCATCGATGACAGGAAACAGAGATCCATGTTTTATTACTTTGTTGAAGCAGAAACAAACCCTGCTTCCAAGCCTCTCGTTCTCTGGCTCAATGGAGGTTGCCTTCCCTTCCTGCTTCAGACTTCTGGATAATCTCGAACAACACTTATTTTTCTAAGAAATTAATATAATTTGTTTCTTTTCACTTTTAGGTCCAGGCTGTTCTTCTCTCATCGGATCCTTCCTTGAACACGGGCCATTTGTAGTCAGTGCAAAGGGTATCGTGAAGAATAAATATAGTTGGAGCAGAGGTATGATTCTCTGGAGCTAAAATAAGAATAATAAGTGCAACATAAGTAGCATCTTTAAAGAACAATAATTTGTTTATTGCATCGTTAATACACAATCCAAATCCAAGAGTTCACATTGTGTTTACTGCAGTGGCAAACATGTTATACTTGGAATCACCGGCAGGTGTTGGATTCTCTTATTCCGTCAACACGTCCATCTATGCTTCCTACAACGATGAGATCATAGGTTTGTTTTCTCGCCATATCAAGTTTTAAAGGCATCTTCTATAGAACGATATCAATCATCCTTCTGACTAATCATTTGCGTGAAAGAGGAACTGACTCTCACTTGCTCTTTTGATTGTTTTCCTTGTTAGCACGAGACAACTTGGCATTTCTGCAGCGTTGGTTTGCCGAGTTTCCAGAATACAAGAACAGAGAATTGTTCATAACAGGCGAGAGTTATGGAGGTATGCCTACGGAACACGTGGAATCATTCACATATACATATAGCCTACTATAAATTATGGCCTCTAGGACACTAAAATTTTCTTGGACCTCAATCTCATAGTGTCGGGTTTGTGCCACTGTCAGGGCACTACGTGCCACAGGTTGCACAGCTTATTATTCAAACCAAGGCCATCCCCAACCTCAAGGGTATAGCGGTGAGAAGCATTACGACAAGTTGACTTTGTTTTTGTTTTTCGTGTATGAAAACGGGCGATCAAGACATATTTAATCAATACCCCCCCGAAAATTTTTGTCGGATTGCAGATAGGAAATCCCTTGCTAGAGTTTGAGAATGACTTCGATTCGAAGGTTGATTACTATTGGTCCCATGGGTTAATAACGGATTTGACTTACAACGTTATGAACAGAGCATGTAAGGGTTCTGAGTATGTAAGACAAATGATCCAGGGTAAGATCTCTGACACTTGCAAGAAACTCTATGCCAATGTGGAAACTGCGTTTGCTCATTCAGTAGACCCAGATAATATTCTGGGCCAAACATGCGAATCTTTAAATTTATCCACGACAGCTATCCTCGCTCACCCACCAACCCCGATAATGTCTCAGCTTTTGCCGCCATATACAAACAATCGCCAGGTGTGAAGTCATCAGTCAACATCCGAATGACATAAATATATGGGTGCTTGAGTGTATTGAAAAGCAATCAATTCAATGTCTTTTTTGTAGGGAGATGATGGCGTCTGTGAACTCAAACTGACGTTCTTATCCAACTATTTAAATAGGAAGGACGTACAGATGGCTTTGCATGCGCAGCTTGTTGGAGCAAACAGATGGGCCTATTGTAACAAGTAAATTGCCGATCACTACTTGAACGTAACAATTGATACTTTTATATATTCTTTGTGCATAAATTAGATGGCATTATGTTCTGTAGACCCATCTATACAAATTATTCAGTTGCAAGCTGGGAAATCTCGACGATTAAGGTAGTAGGCTGGCTCGTGAAGTCAGGCATAAGGGTGGTGGTTTACAGGTACTAATTAGATCTAGCAAGTTGCACATATGAATATCAACATAATAATGAATTAGAATGGCATGTGACGTGATAGTGGAGACCAGGATACAAAAATTCCATTCATAGGAACTCGACGTTTGGTGAGGGAATTAGCTAAAGAATTGAAACTCAAAGTAACGACAGAGTACACACCCTGGTTTGTGGGTGAAAAGCTGCAGGTGAGCTAATTTAAATTTTGTTTCTCTTGTAAGTTTTAAAAGCAATTGAAGCCAACACCTTGACAATGCTGACGTGTGAGACAAATTGCAGGTTGGAGGGTGGACAGAAGAGTATGGGAAATGGTTAAGTTATGCATTGATAAGGGGGGCTTCCCATGTAGCCCCGGCCACTCAACCAAAGAGGGCATTTATGCTGTTTGATGCCTTCCTTCAAGGAAAACTACTTCCTATCCCCCAACACTGATGTGCTCTGCTGATATGGAAGCACAGCTTATTTGCATAGTATTCCATGTATCAATCATCAATCAAATAAAAACAATAGTTCCTATCACTTCTTAAATACTTTTCTTTTAATGGATATCTATGAATTTTAGCATTTGTCTGGCTGGTTATTTTACACCAAAAGATAAACTAATAATCATGTTCGCGCATGGATCCTGAAGCACAGGAAACCCAATGCGTAGGCAAAATAGAAAAGCGAATATTAAAGCTCATTTAGGGCAGAGATGATGGTTGTGCGGGCAGGGAGGATGATGGCTGAGTTGGGGAAGCCTTGTCTCTTCTCAGTTCCCTGACGACAACAGCAAGTGCCTCCGGATTGACACCCAGGTCACACAGTGCAATTAAAACAGAAAGAGTGTGACGATCCAAACCCGTGTCAAGTATGTTTGACATATGGAATGCCAGGTCTAATGATTCCCAAGCAGTTCGTGCTTCTTCTGGGTCCATACTTCTAACCTAACATTTTTTATTTGACTACAATCAAATTATTCACCAATTTCATAAAATTAAGATCTATAAATCTACAGTCTGTTTTCTTACTCCTGAAAAGTCATCTAATCAGATTGATGAGTTGTTAACAGAAGTGCTAATCAAAGAGACCCAAATTTTGAGTAGTTGGTCTGTTAAGGGGTGTTTGGATTGCTCAATAATCATTTTAAAAAAAATACTTTTTCACCGATCGATGCAAACTCATCCACATATTTACTTCGCATATTATAAAAACACTTTTAAAATTATGATTTAGGGGCTGTTTGGATTGCTCAATAATCATTGTGTGGATATCTGGTCCGGCCAACCACCGGCGTGAGAAGGAGAACAGCCAAGGACGATGATAATGGTGAGCCAAATATTTATAAATTTAGTTAAGGGAGAATGTTTAAAGGGCCAAAACAGATCGCCGCAGTCCCTGTTGTTGCCGGCTGATAGTGTTTCAGAGAGGAATCTGGGGGAGGGTCGACATAGAACTGTGGGAAGTGGGAATCTGATGGATGAATCACAAAAGATGCTTCAGCGACCATAGACCAAGAGGCGAAGTCCGAAATGTTGAAGTAGCCGGCAGAAATTGAGCCACTGAGTGAGAATGGGCTAGCCCAATTAGTTTCAACGCATGTGATCTCACCCCATTCAAGACCGTCCAAAACAGTTGGTAAAAACGGACCCTGAGAGAGTGGACGTAAAAGGCAGCGTGTGTTTGGGACGCCACTGAATTAAGAAATGACAATCAGAATCTGATGTTGCATTGCAACCAAAAATCAAAAGCGCACACACACACAAAAGGCGTTGGTGCTGGGTTTTTTTTTTTTTGATTGAAAAATTTTAGGAAAGGGGTCGGGCTCACCCACGATCCAAGGGCAGGGCCCCTAACGTTTGATCCACTGGGGCCTGTCCCTATGGGCACGGGAGCATGACAAGCAAGCCCTTTTTTTCTGGTCCGAAGGTAGGAATCACCCAGCTTCACTACGCTTGTGGAGATGCCTCCCCCAATGCCGTGACTGGAGCCACAACAAAGTGGCACTCCCCAGGATCGAACCCCCTCCCTTTGGTGAGAGAGTCTGACCCCTTCGCCAGCTGAACCCACGGACGAGGGGTGTTGGTGCTGGTTTTCTCGGGGAAGCGTGTGTTGTAGATGATTCCAACAGAAACGAATAAAATTATTTCAGATGATGTGCTAATCATTTATATAAGCCCATTTAAAATTTTAAAGCGCTCCAATAATTACGCCTAATATTTTGTTAAGCACTGAAGATAAATTTAATCTGCGAGTATGGCATTAGATTTTTTTCCATTTGTATTAAATATTTAACATGTAAAATTAAAATATAATAATCATTCATCTATAATCTATTTGACAAAGATAAAATAATATATACGCTTATCTTGTATTCTGTAAATCATGATTGAAAAATTAGTCATAAGTTTTTTCAAATGGGCCATCAATGTCATGAGCTAAATGTGCAAAAACTGGGCCATGGTCAACTTGAAAATGTCAATTTTTAAAAAGCCGTCCCCCCCCCCCCGGGGGCAGATTTGCGTTAAAGGAGGTAAAATAGCAATATGCGAAATTCTTATCAAGCCGTTTTTGAAAAGAGAATTAACATGATAAATAGTTTCATTGTAAGTCACAAGGTTACGTATGAAATCGTGACACGTTGAATGTAATGGTAATGATTAATGAGTATGTTAAAAAATACACATATCGATCCGATTTCTTGCAACAAGGACAGGGCACATATGCATTCTGTTTTAAACCATAGAGGTTGCAAAGGAAATTGTGAAATTAAAATGATTGATCTGTGGTGATTAGAAAGCGGATGAGTCAATCTTTTACGTTAAAAATCGAATTATTTGTTGTTTTATATTTGAAGTTTCGTCCTAATAAACTTGCAAAATTCTCTATCACGCCAACTTAAGAACTGCAAAAATCACACCGCATAGGTTGATCATGCTCCGAATATCAGCACACATGGGCACTTCCAGATGCATAGATTTTAATCTGACTTCGTATTTGACATGCTCATCATCGGAATCAATTCATAAAACTTTGATTTCCGTTTCAAAGAAACATATTTAAATAAAAATATGATGAAAACCGCGGGCTTGTCTTTTATCTAACTATCCAATTGTTTCCCAAAGTCAACAAGTTAAACCTCCATTTAGTGGTCTGATTAAACTCTAGTACCGCGTCTGGAGGTCAGAGTAATTAAGCTTATCTTGCATATCTAACTGTTTCCCAGAGTCAAAGGACTTCCGTTTATTGATTTCATTCTATGAAAAAAAAATTAAGATACAAGCGCCTATAATTTTACTTCATTTATAACTAGGTTTTTCCGGTTTTTTTCCTTTTGATTGAATTTTTATAGTTTCTCCGATTATAAGTGTGTATTACTTATAATTTGTTAATTTATAAGACAAAACAAGTTAGCAGATAATGCATGTGTAGCTCTTATTGAGAATGCAAATAGATTATTTTTGTCAGATAAATCTAAATAAAATTAAAATCAACCATGTTTCAAACTATATATAGATGTTTGCAACAGTTATATATAAGTATAATAAGTTTTTATTTTTATGTTGATGATAAATAAATTTATTCCATCGTTTTATTTTTTTTAAATCTTTTCTTGTATTTTATTTTTATGACAATTTATGTATTATTCACATTATCATATTATGAACATACAGCCTATCACTATTGACTGAAAAGGGGAAAAAAATACAATAATCTATTTAATTAAAAATAAAGTTAAACTAGTGTATCAAAAAACAAAAATAAAGTCAAACTAATAAAGTGTGACCAACTAATTTTTCCCGGTGCAAGGTTAGCCGTTGAATAGGTAGTTGGTCTGGTATATGGTAGTAGGAGCTGAGGCAGTAAACGTCGTTGGACAACAGCATAAGCGATAATGTCTAGTCCACACAACAATTCCTCAGAGATCGCTCTTACCCTGAATCAGAATGGAGATCCTTCGCCACCCTTTGACGACGCAGCCACTGATGAAGCGGTCGCGGTTCAACCCCACCAGCAGGGCCGAACGAAACAAATGGAAAAATATCTCAGATACGATGAAGGGAGAGATAAACCCGGCCATGTCCGGACTGCACTACTCACTGTGGCGGTTCTCATGGCGACGGCCACTTATCAGGCGGGGCTGAGTCCTATAGTTATGTTACTTTTGTATGCTTCATGTTTGGGAACACACTGGGCTTTTATTTCTCTCTTTACATCATCGACTTCCTCACTCGTGGCTTTCCTCTCCGATTGGAGCTCACCTTCGCCACCTTCGGAATGATACTCACTTACTGCACCTCCATGGCCGCCGTCGCACCCAGCAGATCTCTGAGCTACGCTTTTAATGCCTTCTCCTTTGTTCTTCCCATCTCCCTACCTTTCATACTTCCATTTTTGAGAGACTCAAAGTTTGCTCGCAAAATTACAAACACCATGAAAGGCTTATGCGCCACCCGTCAACCGTCCATGTAATATATGATCATCCACATCCAGCACAATAGGTCCGACCAATTTAGGCCGTGATTCATCAGTGTTTCGTCAAGGTGTTGCCTGAGGCTACCTCCTGGTCTCAGAGTGCAAAAAGAATATAGAGCCCAAGCGACAGGCCCAGATGATGTTAGGGACGCCTCAGTTGTATATGGGGCTTGCTTCTGTCTCTCTGTCTCTCTCTCTCGCGTATGTGGTTATGCCCTGTCTATTATTTCTGTTTTAATAGATTGTATCTCTCCTGCGGTTTTGAATTGTTTCTGTCAAAAAAGAAAGAAAGAAGAGTACAGAGCCTTGTATAACTAACTAACGATTGTTAAGCTGTTCTTTTGGGATTATTAACATATAATTTCGAAAATTGTTTTTTTTAATATATTTTGCTTTAATTTGACTAATTGCCATGCACTGTTTTCAATTTGTCATCACTCATCAAAGTCTATCTAGTGAGGAGGAACACAATGGCTTCTAAAATAAATGTAGAATCTGCATTATTATCATAGGCATTTTTTGCTAAAAGATCTGCAAATTTCAATGCCTCTGTTAGATTACATGCGTTAGGAGTTCCACTTCTCAGAGACGTAATAACGGCGATCGCATGTCGCACACCATCTCTGTTTATGGGATTCATTGCTTCAAAGGAAATCAGGATATATGCCGAAATTTCTTAAATGATAAGCGTTCTCTGCAGAATTTTTAAGAACCGGGTAAATGACTAAGAGCTCAACTTCGGTGCGTGCACGAAGTAAAGGCCAGGCTTTTGCTTAAAACCCAGGACCTAGCCACCATTTGAGTCCCTTTATAAAATGTCACCATAACATTTTTGAAAAAAAAGTACAACAAAATCACACCGCATAGAAGTTTGGTCTTGCGGCCCTATCCAATTGTTTGGTAAAAATTTGACCCTGTAATTTAAAAGAAATATTCATATAATCAAAATATGATGGACAGTTAAGCTTATCTTTCATCTAATGGTTTCCTAAAGTCAAAAGGACTTGCACTTTGTTAGTTTTATTTAAACTCGGTGATGAATAATGGGGGAAGGCAGGAGCTATCCCCAACAAACAGCATCCACACGTATCAGGCAAATTAATGTCTGTTTCAGAAAACCAATCCTCAAGAGATGGCTCATACTCTAAATCAGAATCCACATTCTCACGCAGCGACTGGACAGCCAGATGGTGAAGCGCATCGTTGCAGAGCCACCCCAGAAGTGCCGAATGAAACAAATGGAAGAGTGTTTCAGATACCAGAAAGAGTAATGTACGGACTGCTCTTGCTTCTCGTTTGTTGTTTTCATGATCGGATCTGATCTCTGGGAGACTAAAAGTAAGTTTGCTCGAAAAAATCAGACTGTGAAAGGGTTGTGATGTGGTACTGTAACCGTAATATATGATCATCCTTATGTAGCAGACTAGCACTGCGTCCAACAATAGAATGTGAAACCGACAAACTG